AACTGTCACTTTAAATTACAAGAAGATCTATGTGCATGCGTAGTAGAACCCTCTGGGGGTGGTGTGTCCACTCGCTCAGGCACCCCCTCTAGTCACCAGAATGGAGATGCGCAGTGAGAGACCAATGAACAGATAAAAGAAAAAAAAAAAGAATGTCCACACCTTTATCTCCAAGGTTTTGTCAGGCATCTGCCCAAGATAGTGGCTCCGGGAGCAGCTGAACATCTTGGATTGGAAAGCAATGGATTTCTTGCTTCTGCTACAAATTTCCCTAGCTGTACGCCTTCCAACCTTCTAAATATTCCTTTATGTGTGGCTCAGAGATGGTTCTGGCACCATCCCCTGAGCCTGCTTGGTCCGGTATTCTGTGTTGTTGCTGACGGAGCTTCTCACTGCACTTCCACCCGATCTGCCATCTTGTTTGTTCTCTCCCCAATAAAATTCTTATTGGACAACCTTTGCAACCCTCAAGGAATCAGTTGATGTACTATTGAGATGGAAAAAAATTCCATGGTGTAACTTTCCTGGCCTTTTTCTCACCAGTGCAGTTTTCAGTTAAGACTTCCTCATATTAAGTCCTTGTGTGTCCTTCAAGAAAATCTATTAAGATTTTCTTAATACAAAAAAAGTTGTCATAATCTTCTGAGCTGAACTGTCTACCTTGAATTCATCTTTGATGTCTTCTCGACTTTCCTTAGAACAATTGATCCATTTTAAAGTTGTTTTATATGGGGCAGTATTCCTATAAACCTGTTGCAAAGCTTGAATGAGTTGGGAAGATAGCCATTTGTTTTGATAAAAATTTGATATTAGTGCACTTTAATGAGGGATTAGAAAGTTAGCCCTACTAAGTGATGGTAGGGATCACAACTGCTGGTGGTGACCCATGTGTTCCATCTAATGTTAGACAAGGTCAGTTTCCTGGGTGAGAGCTCCTATATGCTAGCGGGTATAGGGAGAGAAAACAGTGGTTCTCCATGGTGCTGACAAATCCCACAGTCTGTGAAAAGGAAGGCAGGCAGGCAGGCAGGCATGTCAGGTGCTGATTCTGATGTAACAAAGATATCAATCTAATAAAAATCTAACTTTATAAGTATATGATGTTTGTGGTCAGGATTGAGAACCTAAATGGTTTGTTTCAGGTTCTATCCTGCTTAAATTGGGGTCTCCTAGTATGTTTGCCTTTCTTTTTCTTTTCATATTACTATGTGTAATGACATAGTAACTTTTTAAAGTATTGAAGAGCTGCACAGGAACTTTTTAAAGTATTGAAGAGCAGAGATGTCAGCTTGAGGACTAGGGTGCGCCTGACCCAAGCCATTGTGTTTTCAATAGCCTCATATGGATGCGAAAGCTGGACAGTGAATAAAGAGGATCGTAGAAGAATTGATGCCTTTGAGTTGTGGTGTTGGAGGAGAATACTGAGGGTGCCATGGACTGCCAAAAGAACCAATAGATCTGTTTTGGAAGAAGTGCAGCCAGAGTGCTCCTTGGAGGCCAGGATGGCTAAGCTTCGTCTCTCCTACTTTGGACATGTAGTCCGGAGGAAACAATCGTTGGAGAAGGATGTCATGCTGGGTAGGGTGGAGGGTCAGAGAAAAAGAGGAAGACCTCCAACGAGATGGATCGGCCAGGTGGCATCATTGATGGACTCGGGGGTGGCAGCGGTGGTGAGGTTGGCCCAGGATCGAGCATTGTTTCATTCTGCTGTGCATGGGGTCGCTATGAGTCGGTTCCGACTCGATGGCACCTGACAACAACAACAATGTGTAATGAAATGATATCTGATCCATCATACATGCTTTTTAAGGTACAGAGATAAAAGAGTCTTCTTTTCTGATGACTAAAATATCCAACACTATCATTTGTTACTGTTGTGTGCCATGGAGTCATAGCAACCCTGTATAGGGTTTCCAAGGCTGTAAATCTTTACGGGAGCAGAAAGCCTCATCTTTCTCCCACAAACAGCTGGTAGTTTCGAACTGCTGACCATGAGATTAGCAGCCCGATTTGTAACCACTATGCTACCAGAGCTTCTTAACATTATCATGTTGTTGTTGTTAAGTGCCATGGAGTCAGTTCCGACCCACAGCGACCCTGCACAGGGTTTCTGAGGCTGTAAATCTTTACAGGAGCAGAAAGCCTCATCTTTTCCTGTGGAGCAGCTGGTAGTTTCAAACTGCTGACCTTGTGGTTCGCAGCCCGATTGGTAACCACTACGCTACCAGAGAAGTATGTATAAAAATGCAAAAATAAATTTGACCTCAAAATCATTTTTTCCCATGGCACAGAATATCTTTTTTGTTTTTTTTAAAGGCACATTAACGAGACTAAAACAAGTGTATTATGAGAGAACTTGCCTACAACCATCCTCTGATCACAGAGACGTCTTTAAATATATTTTGTTTCCAATAAACCTGTGTATGTACAAACTGGAACCTAGCGGCAATATTTTTTTTTACTTTTCCTCCCATTAATTTTACAACCAGAAACTTAAAAAGATTGTGCTACAGCCCTGAAGGCCAGGGAGTTAGCAGGAGGTGCTCCTTAGCCAGCCTGCCTGTCTTTACTCACCTTTCTCATCGGACTCACCCTGAGCTTGGTTTCCACAGGCGAGAACAAATTCAGTCATCACGGGCGGCACTACTGGACCAGGAGCGGTATGAGGATTCCCACCTCGGGGGATACCGGCGGATCTACCCTGGATCCGATACAGAGAAATACGCACCCTTCTTCAAGCACAATGGCTCCCTCTTCCAGGAGACTGCTGCTTCCAAGGCTAGAGAGGAGTGTGCCAGGTACGTTGTTCCAGGACCTAGGCCTGAAATCCATGCATTGCCCTCTCTGTACACTTGTGTTCTTGTGAAGTACTGTCAAGTCGGAGCCAACTCATAGTCACCATGTCTAGACTTTCCAAGGAGCTGTTGGTGGGTTTGAACCACAGACCTTGCAGTTAGCAGTCAAATGCTTATCCTAAATCTTCACACCAGGACTTCGTTTTCCTCTCTGTACACTTGGGTAGTGGAGTCATGGCGTGGACTGCTGACCGCATAGTTGGTGGTTCAAGCCTACCAGTCGCTCCTCAGAAACCTATACAGAGCCCCTGAGTCGGAACTAACTTGATTGCACTTATCACCACCACTTGGGTAAGGGGATAAATCCACAGTAGGGTGGAACCAGGGCCACACACTAGAAGAGAGAGGAGCTGTAACCTACTAGGCTCCTAGTGACTTTTTCAGTTTTGGAGGTTTCCCATCTTCCCTTTACTCCTCTTCCATCAGTCCCAAGAACAGATAATAATTTTCTACTCTTTGTCAAGCCCATTTTCCATGTCCCTTCCTCCCCAACACAATTTCTCCAGTGTCTGAAGCTCCTGTGTCTTGCCAGGCAGCAACTGGAAGAAATCCGCCTCAAGCAAGAACAGCAGGAGACCTCAAACAACAAGAAGAGAAAGGAAAACAAAGACCAGAACCAGGGGGAATCAGCAGGGGAGAAGAGCCGACCCAGGGCGGGGCCTGGAGGCCTTTCCACCCACTTGGCTTACAGAAACCGGATTCAGGAAAAAGAGGTGTCAGGGGTTTTGTGGCTTTTGCTGTTTTGCAGGAAACTGGGTTGGTACTATAGAAAAGGGAATCTGCTGTCCCCATCTTTTTTTTTTAATGTTTTATTGTGAATTATATGATAGTTTACATGAGAGAACCTCAGTTCCATATTCATTCCATCATATATCATTACATTGCCATGGTTCCAATCCCCTCCATGTATCGTCTTCCGACCCAAAGGCATATCCTAGAAGCCCGTGGTCTACCCTCCCCTTTTCCCCCTCAGTCTTCAGACCACAGTTCCTTTCCCTCTCTGGATCCAAAGTCCCCAGCTGCTTCATCCCTCCATGTCACCATCTCTGTCTCTATCTCAGGCATCCCCGGTTCTCTGGGTAGGGTCCCGTTCTCAGCTCTTATCCGTTGGTGGTCCCAGAGACCTCCGCTCCTAGACTGGAGAAATAATCGCTCTCTTCCTTGCTACAAAACATCTACCCTTGCATTTCCAACACTCACAGTCCGTCTTGATAACCATTATTCACTACAGTATCGCACGTTACCCATCTGTATTTCATTTCATCAGCTCCACCTAGACAAATTGGATAGTACTCACTGGTGATTCTGCCTTCCTCCATGCCCCCTAGCTCTAGGTTCTCTCTTGAAAGCTTGTAAGCCAGTTACTTCTTGCCTTTGTAGTCCCTCCCTCCCCATTTGGGTATCCAATGTCCAAGTTGCCCCTTTCTGTCTGCTCTCCCCATCTCTTCTTGCACAAGAGAGATGAGTGCCCAATCAGTAAACTGAATCTGACCTTTTGGAACAGGAGGTGAGAGAATGGGTAGCACAGAGTCAGGAGTAGCAGAGGATGAGTGATGTGGGAAGCGTACACTAAGGCCGTGAAGGGACACAGGTAGAGGGGGCAAGAGTCGTGTAGCCATCCTTGCTGATGCTTTGGGACTCATCCTTGGAGATCCTGCATTTATCTCTTGTGTTCCTTGTAGCTGCTACAAGGAACAGTCCACCTGGACACCATGCAGCCTCAAGAAATTGTGGAAGAGGAGGAGCTAGAGCGTATGAAGTGCCTGCTACAAAGGGAGAATCTCATTCGAAGCCTGGGTATTGTAGAGCAGCTTAACCGCATGCTGCATCCCAGCCACAGGGGCCAGAAAAAGCTTCATGAGTACCGGGTGAGGGTCCCTACGCAGCCCCCCACAATACAAAGGAACAAGGGCTGTGATGATACTGGCACATGGTGGTGGTTACATCAAAGGAGGCTCATGTGATGGTATGTGGCGGAGGGACTTGGGAAAGCAATGCATATTTGGCCTAGGGAGAGGGCCTGTTAGTTCTTTTTGCATCTGCTGCCAAGCGCCTTGTTTTTGGTAATGACATCCAGCAAAGAGATTTCCTCTGTATATTCTTGTTTCACAATAACCCAAAACTCATGACTGACAAATAATAAGGCCACCACCCTGTTCAGTGGCTTCTGTGTAATTCTCTCCCTAGCACTACCAGGGCTCGGGTTCTAATGGGAGATATGCAAACAAATCTCTGGCCAACTAAACAGCTGCTGCATTCACTATTCCCTGGACTAGTAGCAAATCCATCTAGGTTCTCTGTTTTGTTGACCCCAAAAGAGTAAATGGGTAAATACGGCCTGTGGCCTAGGAGAGACTTTTTTAGTTCCCTATTTCTTCCAAACTCCATCCAACCTCACAAGAAATGTGGTAAAGGGCTACTCTTCTGCTCTAGCCTAGATTTCACCAGGACGGGCTGGGCAGTCAAGAATTGCAATCTGTGAGCCTGGTCCCATTGGTGCTCTTGAAACAAGCCGCCACAGAGCAGGGCCTTCCTCGTTTCCTGCATCCAGTTCGGCCCCATGAATTGATCCCCAGGATCTTAGGGCCACTGCCAAGCATGGATACTGCAATTCCACATCATTCCCGGTGCCATCTGCAACCTAAGAACTTCAACTGGATAGGTGATGTAGCAGCCAAGGGGCCCTGCTCACCATCAATGAAACGTGGAAGGCGCTGTTTTTCCAGGGCCAGAATCGGGCTCACTAGCCGTAAGTATATAAAAGTAGCTTTGGTCACTTTCACTTGTGTAAATATTGCAGCTAGGATGTCCCAGAATATAAATCTAGCACTTCCAGGAGTGAGGGAATGGGGAAGGTGTGGACCCATTTGGTTACTTCCTACTAGACTCTGGTGATAGAAACAGCAGAAATACAATTCCAGCACTCAATTGTTAACAAGGAAATAAAAAAGTAAGCCCACCATTTGCCATGCAGAGTGGTAAAGATGCTGGATTCCCAGGCAGGAGATGCCATTCTTCTGTGTTGGGCCACAGTTGGGGCAGAGATGAGACAAACCTCTTCTGTGATTACCAACTCAGAGGCTCATGTTTCCACTGCAGAAGGACAAGCCAGCAGAAGACTAGAAGCCATAAACCGTGCCCTGACAGGATCAGTGCCGCCCAATTTAACCCCAAAGCAGGGCTATCTTCTGCACCCGGAAAGAGTGGCAAGGGACTCGTGGACTGGCTGTACCCTGCCCTCCATGGTAGACTCTGTGCGCAGGGCAGGAAATGACCCGGAGCTCACCTTGTGCCCTGCCTCGGCACCCCTGCTGCAGCGTTCCAGTGCAATCCTCAACATCAGCCACCACAGGTAAAAAGCAGGAAGCTAGCCCAGGACTCATCCACTCCTGGAGAAGCCAGTCAGGCATCCACTCCTGGAGAAGCCAGTCAGGTTTCCAAAGGGGCAAAGGACCTGTGCTCCATGAAAGACTACCAAGCTTTCGTTTGAAAAGCCCTGGTCAGGAACCCTCATATGCATAAGGCAAAACACAAAGATGTCAAGACTCTCTACACCCTAAGATTATTTGGGATCGGTAAAGACGAAAAGATGAAGAGGAAACAGGGCCGGCCAAGTCCTCATCTAAACGTTAACCAAGCCTTATCCTGGGTTTATCGCTAGGTGGATGGGTCTGAACCCTGGGTGTAGCCCTGGGCTGGGAGGTCATACCGGGCAACAAGAAACGTCTTTTGCAAAGAAGGTGAGTGTCAAGAGACCACAGGATACCCCTGCCCGCTCCTATGGCTGAGACCGACAAGCCGGGCTGGGCAGGGGCGACTCTTGGCAATTTGTCTTTTTATTAAAGTTCTATGCTGTTTTCCTGACTCGTCCAGCACTTCATTGGCCCTAGGGTTTCCGGGAAGGGCGGGCTATTGACGTCAAGCCCAGACTTCCCGCCTTCACCCGGAAGCAGGAAAGACCAGACCGCTCGTACTTCCGTTTCCGCTTTCTCACTTCCGATACTGCCGCGTCGCGCGCCTGTGGAAAGCTATTGTTGTCATGGCGGTCGCTCTGAGCCTTCTGGGCGGGCGTGTCCGCGCTGCTGTGGCCCGCTGTGGGTTTGCGACCCGGGGGGTGGCGAGCCCAGGACCTGTCGGCCGCGAGCCGGACCCGGACTCCGACTGGGAGCCGGAGGAGCGGGAGCTGCAGGAGGTGGAGAGGTACCTGCTCCTTCCCGGGCCCTCAGCCTGAAGCAGGGCCTCGCGCCCCGGCGCTCCAGCCCCCTTGGCGCCGGGCGTCGCCGCCTCCGCAGCGGCCCTAGTTCGTTCTCCCTTGTCTGGGGCGCAGGGGCAGGTGTTCAGCTATCTTCCGTATTTCGTCCCCGGTTTAGAGTTCGGCATGCTTCTGGGCCGTGGTGGTTCTAAGTGTTAGATTGCAGGGACTTGACTGAGCAGCTTCAGGCCGGCAGCCATGGCCCGCGGGCCCTTCACTTCCCCAGAGCGGAGGGCTGGGCGCCCCGAGAGGTAGCCTGAGGCGCTCCAACCAACTGGGGTGCTTCCACGCACGGCCTCTGCTATTGGTTCTCTCCCTCAGCGCCCTGAAACGCCAGAAAAAAGCCATCTGGTTCCAGAAAGTACGGAGGCAGCTGGAGGCGTCAGGCGCCCCGCCCCGGACCCTGACTTGGGAAGCCCTGGAGCAGATCCGGTGAGGCCGGGGGCTCGGAGGGCAAGGGCCCCGCGGCTACGGCCGCGAAGGGTTTTGGGGTCTTCTATTTCCATTTATTTTGTTTTTTCGTGGAAAATTCCAGCAATCGCGAACCTCCAAAAGTCTCATCTAGATTGAACAGTTTCTAACATTGTGACACATTCAGTTCATTTTTGCTGAAAATTATATATTGACATATTAAGCTTCCCCCCCCCCATCGGCTGCAATTTTTAAATAGTAAATTGCAGAAATCTCATCATTTAACTGCTGAATACATTGTAACGTTTGGAAGATTCAGGGAAAAAATCTGCCCCTTAGATTTTTATTTGTTTATATGTGGGTTTTTTTGTTGTTGTTGTTTTTTTAAAATAAGTAATAACTTCTGGTGTGGTGCTGTAGGATCACCATTGGACTGTGAACTACAAGGTTAGCAGTTCAAGCCCACTAGCTGCTCCTTGGAAACATAATACAGGGTGACTGAGTTGGAACCAACTCGTGGGCGCTTAACCGTACAGATGGCTCAAAAGTAAAACAATATAAATGGAAAGTCTTAATATTTCTCTTATTAAATATATTCATTTTATTTGTGCGTTTCAGATTTCCTTATGCAAATACAAAAATATAAGCAAGTATGACTATAGGATTTTCTTTCACCTGTTTTTTCCTGGTGTGGAGCTGCTGTAGGATAAACAGTGAACTGCTAACTGCAAGTTTGGCTTTCAGACCCACCAGTCACTCCTCGGAAACCCATACTGGGTCACAGTATGAGTCCGAACCGATTCCATGGCACCTAACAAGAAGTCACAAACCGGAGACCTTGTGATGCAGTGGTTAAGAATTTGGCTCCTAATTGAAAGGTTGGTGGTTTGAACCCACCAGCCACCCCATCGTACAAAGATGTGGTACCCTGCTTCAGCAAAGATTACTGCTGTGGAAACCCTATTGGGCAGTTCTACTCAGGGGTTTCAAAAAGTTAATGGAAAATTTCTATTATGTTTTAACTCCGTTTTTCCACCAATTTGTTGAAGCATCCTCATATTTAGTTGATCTGAAATAGTCACAAACCATCACATACTGTAACTATTGTTCTGTACGTAGCTTTTTCCACATAAATTTGCCCTATGGTTCTTTTCATTTCAGAAGAGTGCTCATTTTTATTATAGATGCATAGTAACCATAGTTTATTTAGTCTTTTGTGGTGGATACTCACTTCCTTTCTTGCTCTCACAAATAATACTCTAGTGAATAACTTTGTACATACATCATTCTGCCAGGTGTACCCAGAATATATGGAAGCTCGTGGAAAACTAGATTGAAAAGATATGAAATTTTTCCACGAACTCTTGGAAGCTCCTTCGTATATATTGTATACATTCCCAGAAGTAGGACTTGTAAGGTAGATCAGGGGGCAAATGGATTGACCATTTTGATAAGTACTGCTAACCCCCTATAAGTTATATTCCAATTTTCATTCTTACCAGAATGACCTTGGAATTGAGAAGAATAAAGGGGATATTTAGAGCCAGTCAGGATTTTGTGAGCCTGTTACAACTCTCATAGGCCCTCAGTCATCTCCCTTTCTTGTCTTACCAGTTTTCTCAAACCTTCCCACTAAATACCTATCACACCTCTCCCCCTTTTATGGTCAGTAAATGTTCCTTCACTTCAAAGAAAAACAGACAGGCAAGAACCCTTTCAGCTTCCTGGTCTTCCTCCTCACCTATTCGCAATTTTTATGTACTCACATCTTAGGGAAAGTGGTGGCCCTTCGCTTTTCTAGAACCAATCCTCTTTATGTTCTAATGCTTATCTCTATCTACTGTCTTAGAGACCCCTATCTGTCAGCTTAGGGCCTTGCCTCAATCTCTTGTTCCTGCTGGCTCTCTAGCTTATTTCTTTTTTATTTTTTTTCTTCATATGCTCTCCACTGATTGTTTCCTTGATGCTTGCTAGATTCAACTGATGTCTCATTTTTATCCTTAACATTTTTGCAGCACTTGACCTTATAGACCACTTTTTTAAAATTCTCTTCTTTTTAACTTTAGGATAACCATTCTCTTGATTTCTTTCTCTTTCTAGGGCTGATTTTCCCAGTCTTCTTCCTGGACCTCCTTTTCACTGCTATGTAAAGTATTGTGAAGATGTTTTTTGTTTTCATTTTTAAAGGGTTATATCCTAGGTTTTATTACGTCACTCTGCATACTTCTTTGCCTAATCCAGCATGACTTCTACCACATTCCTATTGGTTTAGGATTTATAAATCTTGTCATTTCCAATCCATGTTTTTCTCTAGATCCATATATTCAACTGTGCTCAAGATGTCTCTGTTTGCATGTCACAGAGTTCTTCAAACAATCTGTACACAATAGAATTCATCACTGTTCCCTAGCAGTTTAATTCTGTTGCTCTTTTCCCTGTAACCCTGAATGGTTCCACTATCTGTCCAAGCAAAAATCCTCAATTTACACTCCATTTTTCATTATTTAATTCCTTACTAAGTTTTACTATTTGGACTTCCATATATATTTGTCAATTCTCTTTCCTCCTCTGTTCTCACTGGCACTGTCTCAGTTCAGACCTCCTGGATGACTTTTTGCCTTATGTTCCCGTCTCCATTCTTGCTGCTGAGGATGTATCACTAGAACTAGCTTCAAAATAAAAATGTGCTCATAAATGCCACTGCTAAAATTCTTTCTTGGTTCCCTGTAGTCTTGGGATAAATTCCAAGCTCCTAAGACACTGGACTGCTCTGGTAGCATAGTGGTTACAAATTTGGCTGCTGACCTTGGTTCGAAACTACCAGCTGTTCTGTGGGAGAAAGATGAGGCTTTCTGCTCCTGTAAAGGTTTGCAGCCTTGGAAGCCCTGTGCAGGGTCATTATGAGTTGGAATCGATTCCACAGTACTTAACAACAAAAAGACATTGGGCTACTAACTGCAAGGTCACTGGTTCAAGCCTACCAAGTTCTCTAGGGTAGAAGATGCTGTCTGCTCCCATAAAATTTACACTCTTGTAAATTCCATACAAATTGATTAGATAACAGTGGGTTTGGTGTTTGAGGTTAAGAAATGACATCCTGCTTCTGTCCTCAAGCTGTCGGACAGCTGAGCCTCTCCCAACAAAGGTAATGTGCATCTTGATTTCACATTCTGTTCACTCGACCGCCAGTAGTAGTCTTTTCTTTCTCTCTGCCCTTATGTCAGCTTGTGACTCCTCCTCATCCTTTTACATCAGCTGTACTTGGACATGAAGCAGTTCCTAGACCAAGCAGCAAGTGCTGTGATTGCCTTTCTCTGGATCTCCCTTCTGAATGCTCTCGCAGCATTCTCTGATGTATTGCTTACAGAGGTGTCATTATGATAATGCGTTGGTCTCCACACCAAATAGCATGCTCTTTGGAGAATAGGATATCCCTCAACATCCCCAATATTTAATGTAGGACCAGTAGGAGGAATTTGTTGTTAAGTGCTATCAATATGGGTCCTACTCAGAGCGACCCTGTGTAGAGTTTCTGAAGCTGTAAATCTTTGCAGGTGCAGAAAGCCGCCTCTTTCGCCCATGGAGCAGCTGGTGGGCTTGAATTGTTGACCTTGTTCACAGTCCAGTGCTTATCCTACAGAGCCATTGTATCCAGAAGGAATTTAGTTGGTGTAAAACAGTGACCTGGCTAAGAGTGGTTAGGTGTTGCTGTTGATACACAGTATGAAATGCAGTCTTTTTAACTCACACAAGATACACTGTTGTAGCAGTTTTTCCAAGTCCCCATCTGCTCACCTGCTTGTCAGTAGTGCCATACGTCTTCTGATATGAGGCTTCTTTACAACTTGAAAACCTGCTCCTTTTCCCATAGGTATTTACATAAGGAATTTGCAGAGTCCTGGACAGTTCCCAGATTGGCTGAAGGCTTTGGTGTCAGCACTGATGTGATCCGAAGAGTCTTAAAAAGCAAGTTTGTACCCACATTGGAGCAAAAACTGAAGCAGGATCAAAAAGTTCTTAAGAAAGCTGGACTTACCCATTCACTCCAGCAGATTCAAGCCCTTAGGAATACCACAGAACCACTCTCTGCAGGCCGCTCTGTATCAGGCTCTTTGCTGATGCCCAGGGTTAAAGACTCATCCAAAGGCCAGAGTCATAGCCCAGCTTTGAAAGTGATAGAACCAAACACTCATAGAATAAATACACCAAGGAGACAGAAGGAAAGGAATGAAGGAATCCAGAGCCTGGAAGGAGTAAAAGAGAACTTTGTACCTGTAGCTGCATCCTTGAATCAACAGGGGAAGTTGCCAAAGGGCACCAGAGGTATTAGCAGCCCTGAATTGCTACATGATGAGAAGCTGGAGGAGTTGAAGACCAGAGCTCTGAGTGATCAGAACTTCAGTAGCAAAATAGTGCAGAGGGGGCGGGAGTTCTTCGACAGCAATGGGAACTTCCTGTATAGAATTTGAGCCAGGACCTTACCTTTATGGAAATGCCATGTGAAAACAGCTAGACAAGTGTATTTAGATTTGCCTGGATTTGTGTTTACCTATTTATTAGCCGCCTTAGAATAGGAAGAAGTGATGGGCCTGGAATATGAACAGGAAATAGCTACTTGGAACTCTGACAAAGGGCAATGAACTTCAGGGCCATTGTATAAGGGGCCAGGTAAATGTTGGGCTGGATAGATCCAAATGTCCTGGAGCATGGCTTCAGGTCTGACCCCTGTGGATCTATCTTAATTACTCACCCTTCTTGGCTCTCTCTATGTTGAAAACCAGCCCATGTTGCATGTGTTGTTGTGAATTTCTGTAATACTTGGCAATATGTGTATTACATATTGTGAGGAAATGAAAAGTTTGCCTTCTGATCTCATTTCCTTGATTAATGAATACTAGAAGTTCTGGAACTGTTAAGTCAATTGGTTGTTTTCCATACCTGCAAAATAAAGTAAAATGTAGCAGTCTGTTTGGTGCCCTGTGGTGTGGGAAGGTTTACATGTGAACCTGGCTAGTGAGAGAAAAGGATTCTTTGTCATTAAACATTGGGTGAGAGAAGGGACCAGGGGCACCCCCAACAAACTGCTCTTGTGCAGATCACCCTGCTCAGTGTGGGTTTTGCCAACTGAAAACTGGACATCCTGCTTTTAGTTGCTGGGGCTCAAATTGATTGGGGAATGAGGGTCAAATGGTCTAATTTTACAGGTATCATAAGATTGCCACAAGGTAGTAGAGAACAACAGATAAGCCTCTTTTATAAAAAACATAAAATTCTCAGAATCTACCACTACTTGGCATGATATTTACTAATTTACTGCTAGATAGAGATAACTTGATTATGAAGTCTGGTTATAAATAGACATAGCATGGGACACATGCAGTAATATAAAGACAATTTTCAATCATGCCTTATTTTAACAATTCACCAGGAAAAATGTAGATACTCAGAATTTAAATACATGTAGGATGGTAAAAGTAATGAAAACACAGACATTCTAACCTTGCCATTTCCCCTATACATAGAATTTTTCTTGCTACAAATAATTACTGTGAGCCTTAGCATTCCTTCACTATAACAGGACCTGGTGGCATGTCAGCCAAAATTCTAGAGTTTAAATGGTGATAGTGGCAGTAGAAGAATAAGACAGCCCTTGTTCATGCTGCCTTTTATTATGTCTATATTAAAAGCTTATCAATAGTTTTGTGATTTATATAAACTTGCAAGTCATTTGGCCAGGCCCTTTCACCAGTGGGCTAGGGAAATCTAGAACCTGTTCTTAGACAGTGCTTCCCGTGTACATGCGAGAGAGCCCTCCTAGTAAGCTTGCCATTTGCTCTCAACGGTTCTTTATCCCCAGATTTTCACATGGCAGGTGGTCATTCGGGTCTCAGATTAAACTTTCCTGATCACCCAATGTAAAGCAGCTCATTACATGCTCTGCGTTACCACCACACCCTGTTTAATAATTCTGTATTCTCACCTACCCTGCCTCCAAAGTAGACCCTGTAAGAGCAGAAGACCTGTGTGTCCAATGCTGTAGTCTCAGCTCCTAAAATCTTACAGAGGTTGAGTGAAGACATGAGTGGAGAACATACCAGTCAGTGTCAGCCTCAGCAGATAGTCTTGCTTTTGACCTTCCCAGCATTCCCAATCCTCAGTCAACCAAACACCTAAGCTCCCTCCAGGCTGACCTGTTGACTTTATCCTGGCAGTGTCTCAGATCCTAACCTGCTGACATGGCAGTGTTGTAACTGCCCTCCAGCCCTGACTGGAAAGCAGGAATGTGGAATTGGGGCTGGAGTCTCAGGACTCCAGAGGCCCCTGCCCCCAGGCAATCCCCACAATGGATGTGGTGGAGCTGCATCTTGTGATACAGGCGCATCATCAGGTGGAGGAGGCAGCAGATAACAAGGCTCCACCTGAGCTGACAAGAAGGCAATTCACAGCAGCATTGGAGTCAAGCTCAAGAAGCTGGCAACCTGCAATTGAAGGAACTTAAGTCTCTGAGCCCTGGAGAGTATGCTTAACTTACCTGCTTTGTTATGTACTGTCAAGTCCCTTCCACTCCTAGAGACCGTTAGAGGTTTTCCCCCTACTTTGACATTCAAACCAATCTTGCAGTTCATTATCCCACAGAGCGACACCAGGACTCTGCTTTAAGAAACAGGAAATCTACCATCTCTGGGCAACCTCCACGTCTCAGATTCCATCTAACTAGAGGGCTGGGTTTGATTTCTTGACTGATGATTCCATGAGCATTGATTGTGTATCCAAGTATAGTTAAGCCCTGAAGAATGCAGCGATTAGGGGCGTCAGTACCATGCAGTCGAAAATCTGCATATAATTTTTGACTCCCTAAAAGCTTTACTAATAACCTACTGTAAACTCAAAGGCTTACTGATAACATAAACACATTGGGTATTATATAATGCGCCCACATCAAAGCTACATTTTCAATACGAGATAAAAAGTATTTCACAAAACAGGGCAAGCAAGGATTTTGCACCAGCTGAGGTAGCTACAGCAATTACCTCACAAATCTTTTTTTTTTTTTTTTTACAATGGTCCTTAACACTGAATTAATTTATCTTGAAATGGTGGGCAACTACAGCAGCCGACATACAATTCAACTTTTTCTTTGAATGTCATGACTTCTGCTGCTTGAGACCACCTCCAACATGACTACCACAAATTTGTTCTGGTCTTGTGGTGGTATTTAAGGTTTACAGTATGACGGTGGTGGTGGTGGTTGTGTGGTATCGGGTGGGTTCTGATTCATAGCAACCCTACACAAGGCTACAAACCTTTATAGGAGCTCTTCCTGTAAGCGGCCTGAGGTAGTCTTACAAAATGGTTCACTACTCACTTGACCCAGAAAACCCTACAAAATTATGCAAAACAAGCGGTTCAAATCTCCGGGTCCATTTTAAGAACACCTGTGAGACTGCCCAGGCCCAGGCCATCAGGGGTATGCAAATCTGAAAAGCCACCAAATATCTGAAAGACGTCACTTTGCAGAAGCAGTATGTACTATTCTGACACTACAATGGTGGCATTGGTAGGTGTGCTTGGACCAAACAATGGGGTTGGACCCAGGGTTGGTGGCCCAAAAGGACCACTGAATTTTTGCTGCACATGTTTCAAAATGCAGAGAGCAATGCTTGAACTTGAGGGTTTAGATGTAGATTCTCTGGTCTCTGAGCACATCCAGGTTAACAAAGCTCCCAAAACGCACCACTGAATTTACAGAGTTCATGGTCAGATCAACCTCTAGATGAGCTTCCCCTGACACAATGAGATGAGCCTCACTGAAAAGGAACAAACTGGTCCTAAACCAAAAGAGGAGGTTGCACAGAAGAAAAAGATACCTCAAAAGAAACTGAAAAAAAAAAATTTTTTTTGGCTCAGGAGTAAAGTAAGCTTAAAATAAAATGCAAATAAAAGTTTATATATATTCACCCCTTGTCTGTCAGTTTGTTGTACTACAGTGGCTAGCATGTTGCTGTGATTCTGGAAGCTATACCACAGGTATTTTAAATACCAGCAGGGTCACCCACAGTGGACAGGTTTTAGCTGAGCTTCCAGAAGAAAGACTAAGGAGGAGAGACGAACTACTTCCAAATATTTAGTCACCGAAAACCTTATGAATAGTAGTGGAACACTGCCAGTACAAGATTACTGAATACTGAAACATGATGAAGATCACCAGAATATTGTCAGATAAAGTGCTGAAAAATGAGCCCCTCAGGTTGGAAGGCACTCAAAATATGAATGGAGAAGAGCTGCCTGCACCACAGAGTTGACTGTGATGACACGAATGGAGTAAAACCCTCGGTACCATCATTTGCTGATGAAGAGAAAGAACTCTAAACATCCATTAATAATCAGAACATGTTGTTGT